ATAAAATTGTAATGATATCTCTGGGACAATGAATTATTAGGTTTGATTTTACTTGAATATTATGGACTCTATCACAAAGTTTGAATTTAGTTCTTTAAGAAAAAGTTTGAATTTAGTTCTTTAAAAAAAGGTATGAATTTAGTTTCTTTATAAAATAAAACTTCCTTTTCTTAAAAATTGCTGGTAGAATCATACTACGTATACGAGTAGTCCGGAAATAAGGAACGCATGTTCGATTAGTCTAATTGTTTTCCTCTCGCAACATACGATAATTGCTAAGTTATATATTTCAAAGAAATGGGATAAGTCAATGGCGGGGATAGCTCAGTTGGGAGAGCGTCAGACTGAAGATCTAAAGGTCGCGTGTTCGATCCACGCTCACCGCATTTTTGCAGACTTTAATTTCATCCTTGGGCCCGCCGTATTAATTTTCGTGTTTTGACGCGGCCCTAAGCTTCCAAGTTATGCTTTATTACCCTTCCCACAAAATTTTTTATTGGGACGTTCCCTTTTAATTTTTGCAAAGAAAATACGCCCTAAATTTTTGTGATTGAAAATATTAATTTGGAAATTTTACCATCCCAAAATTTTATCTTTTGTGTTTGAAAAGATCAAAGAGACTTCAATAACGAAATAGGGAGTCAATCTTATTTCTATGTCCCGCAAAGTCAATCTTATTTCTATTAAAAAATTATTTTTATCCCTATTAATTTTTATCATATCTATGATCTATCGTATTATACTTTTTTTACTAATAATCTATCAATCACATCTTACTTTTAGTCATCACATCAAATGTATTTTTGGAATGTCTACACAAAAATATCTCTTCTTTAATTATTCTAAAAGTCAAAATAGAAAAAATTTTAAGGGACAGAGGAAGTAGAATATTAATATTCATTTTTCATATAAAAGAGTTTTATTGGCGAATGTACAACATTTTATTTTTACTAATGCAGAAGTATCAAATATGCAAGAGGACAATGTAAAGGATAGGAGTGTTCATATTTGGGTCTAGATCGAAAAAAACCAACCGCACCAGATTGTTAGGTCTAGACCAAATTTAGACCGATTTGATTTAGGATCGGTCTTCGATCTGAATTATTCATGATTTCATATTTCGGTCGATTTGGTCCAAACCTGATTACCAATCGATCTAGAGCAGCAGACCGATATACCCTCTAATTTATCTCAATTCTTATACACGTATAACTCTCAACGTCTCACTCCTCTCACCTTTTAGGGTATGTTTGGTTGGAAGGGAGAGGAAGGAATGGATGGGAGGAAATAGGAAAGGAAGGGAAGGGAAGGGTCCCCTTTACCTTGTTTGATTGGGAGAGGGAAAAAATGTTTTATTTTCAATATATTATTTATATTTGTCATATTTAAATTTTTATTTGTTATCTATTATAAAAATATTATTATCAATGTTTTTTGCTTTATTCTTTCATTTTATTTTTTATAATTTTAATTTTTATTACTATTTTTATTATTTATCCTATATTTTGATTTGTTATTTTCATATTACAATGTGAACTCCTATTTAAGAATAAAACATGGAATTCCTATTTTGGTACTTTCTTTATGTTTTACTCCTATTTTGGATGATTTCTTTTTTAACTCCTACTTTTGAAAAAAAACATGAAATTTTTATTTTGGTATATTTTCTATATCTTATTCATACTTTAGTCTTTTTTCAAAATAGAATAACGTGAATTGGATGTGCCATCGACATGCGTTGGTGGCACGATGAAAGTGTTAGCAACATAGGGGGAACTCTTTAGATAGGAGTAAAAAACAATGAAAATATCAAAATAGGACTAATAAGTCTTTTAAGACCAAAATATGATATCTACATTCTAAACCTATTGAAACCGAGAAAATTATTGCCCTCATTGGAGATCAAACAAATGACCTGGCATTTGAGAGATCAGAGTCATAAGGCTACCATTGGACTAGAAGGTCCTTGGCAGTTATTTAATTACTTATTTATTAATATTAATTAATAAGTTGGTATTTATTAATTATAAATTTTTGTAATTTAAATTGAATTGCTATCTCCATCTATAGGATTCTATACATAGAGATATAATCCCTCATTAGAAAATTCTGAATGAAGATTTATAATTTTTTTCCAACCTTAATTCTATCTTCTTCCTTCTCTGCGGCACGACAGTCCTCCCTCTTTCTCTCTTCTTAATTTCCTCTCATTCTTTTTTGATTTTTTGATCTTTCGTCCCTTGTCATTACGATATCGTATCATTGTGAGAATAGTGAAGGTGGCCATTAGTGGCAGAGGGGCGATGAGGAAAGCTAACAAAAAAGCTCGAATGGAACAAGAGGCTCATCAATGGGAGATTCAACCGAATTTCCCAACTCCGAGAACAAATAGCCCAGCGTCGAATTAAAGGGAAGCAAAGGACTTTTATGAAAAATAAAAAGAGGTAAGGGAACTTGACCGGTTATTAGCAACACAGAATGTATTTGTCAAGTCCCCACATATGATCAGTACGATGACCTTTCTCCTGAATTTTGGAGATGACACTTGGACCTTCATATCCTTCTGAGATCAAACAAACTCAATTTCTTAGAAGCAAAAGAGAAATTTAACCTCCAAGCCCAAGAAGAGATGGACCAACTGAGAATGTTATAACCTCATCAAGCAGTTTAAGAAGTTGAAACAGATTCAGAACCTATTATCGAAGATTCACGAAAACCACCACCATCACAGAAACCCAAATATAGCATGACTCTTTAAATGCTCGCTAGGGCTACTGTACCCTCTAAGTCATGTCGTACATGAGGTGGAACCAACTAAGGGACCTGACTAAGATCCACCTACTCCATCCTAAACTGAAGAAGGAAAGGAGGAGGAAGTTAAGCATGTGGCAATAGACTTTCCTTTTCTTAACAGTGTTGAAGACACACCTCTAGAGGAATCTGTTCTGGAGGAAATAGAGCCCCCAACCTACTCCCAATATTCCAACACCAAAGAGTCTGAAGAGGAAACTATAGACGAGGAAATACTTTGCACAGAACAACCAACTCTGTCAGATGGGTTATTGGAACTTGTGCAAACGAAGCCTCACCAAAAGATTCAAACCAAACTTTCTTTGACTCCCTATTTGACAGGTGTGACTATGTTTGCCTGGAGGATAGTTATCGCCAAATAAGTCGGGATAAACTTCTAATGAGTGACACTAAGGACCCTTCCAAAGGAGTAAGAGATGTCGTAATTATTAAGACACAAAAAGATACTCAGCCCATTAAAGACAAGGAAAGATTCAATCTTGTAATTAAGGCCAAAGATGTAGATCTGCCAAGGAGACTCCTGCCACCACCCACCCAACCAGAGTCTCCTCCATATGTCATGTTGCTGCCAAGCCACAGGGATAGTCAAGGATCCTAGAATTGTTTTCTTTGTTATTGTAGATGGGTGAACCGCAGAGCATACCTTGCATGAAGTGAAGAAGTAGTTCCGTACCTGGAAAACACAAAGTTTTTGCAACCTCCAATGCTTCATGATCTAGCAGTCTTAATTGAAATGGGCTACTAAGAAGACATTGATACCTTCATCTCTTATCTGGACTTTTTGGCTCTCATTCCTCTGAGTAAATTCTCTTTTTCCAACATATATCTCTACTATTCTGAACATGATTTTGGTGATCTAAATTTAACTTTATATGGAATTCTTTGTTTAGACTCTTTTATATGTTATTACTCTTTATGATTAATTATTATTTCAATCTTCACAGTTGAATCATTCAAGTGTGAGGACAACCTAGTAATTGCATGCGAACATTTCAACCATTAACTCTATTTCCAAAACACTTTTTCTAACAACGAGGACGTAATTCCGTTTAACTGTGAGGAGGTTAGAGTTTCTGGTTGAAATGATCTTCTTAGGAATTATTTTATCTATATATTTGTAGGAATTTTTTTTTATAAAATAGTCATCAACTTTATTTGTTTGATTCATTAATTTTTAGCTATCACCCAGAAAAATTAGAAAATTTTAACTCTTTTGTCGAACTTCTATTTTTACTCTGAACTTTTGGAAATATGGTTAGATGGATTTAGGATAAATTCACAACTTGTTAAGAGTTGTTAAGATCAATCAATTTTTAAGTGCTTTATTGAAAATCTTTTTGCGAGTGCTCCTCTATCCTTAGGATTATGAGTATTTGTTGTTTCTCTAAAAGAGTTATTTTGAAAGTATAAGGGTGATGTTTCAAAGCATACTTTTGTAAGATCGAGATTTTTGTTTTAGCTAAAAAGTATTTGGTTCTATATCAACTGATGAGGCTAGGTGATTACGCTAAAAAGAATGCAGTTTATTTCCTCGTCTATAGCCAAAAAACATTCGGTTATTTAAACAGACCGGATATACAATTACCAAATTGGTATCTGTTTAGTAATCGAATATTCTTAATCAGATACAGATAATATTCAATTAAAATGGATATAGATTATTCTTGTTTAAAAAGATACGGATACAGACGTTAATCCGATTTCCGTTTATCCATTGACATGCCTAGAGTGTAGAGATCTTCATCTCAATATGCTTGAACACATTCTCACATACTATACACACTTTTAAGTTATAAATACATGAGTTGACTTTTTAGAAATTTAATCCCGTCCGACGGATCCGGTGCATTTACTATCCGACGGAGGGAGTAAATAGACACATTGACATTTCTACAGTGATAGTTGGGCAGTTGACTTTTGATAAGACAGCCCTGCTGCTGCGTTTCTTCGCCCAAAACATCAACAAAAACTTATCTCAGAGTCAACTCCCCTGAAAACAACCCAAAACTAATTACCAAAAGTAAAAGCAATTTGAATTTAGACCATTACTTTTATTCTTTTTTATTTTCGGCAAATTCCAAAAGTCAACTCCTCTCCCTGTCATTCTTGTTGGTCTTCCATTTCCACTGATGCATTCTTAATTAGTAGTAGTAGCAGTAGAGTTTAATTCGAATTTAATTCATTTATCCCAATCTTTCTATACCCCCAAAGATTTTGTTTTTGTTTTTGTTTTTCCTTTCGATTCTTGAATTTAAAAAAAAATGGGCAACGGGTTGATGAAATTGAACCTCTGCTTCGCCGGAGACTGTGAGGAGAGCTCTCGCCGGCGGAAAGACATCGCCGGCGCTGATCTGTCGGACACTCTGGATGAAGGGCTTGGCCATTCATTCGTTTACATGAAGCCCGACACGTCTTCAAGGACTCATCTCTTCTCCACCGACTCATGCTCTTCCACCACCACTACCGCCAGCTCCATGACGACGGCGTTCTACACAATCTCCGGCGCCTCCATCTCCGCCAACACCTCCACGCCTCTCTCCACCGCACTCTTCGACCTCGGCATCGAAAAGGCCTCAGCTTTCGAGAGTTCGCGGCTCTTTTCCTCAATTCCCCTGCAGCCAGTCCCCCGGTCCGGCCCTCTTCACCGCGTTTCAGGAATCGGTTCGGGTCCAATTTCCGGCGGGTTCTTATCCGCTCCGATTCCCGAGACGCAATACGATCAGGCCGCCCACAGGCACAAACCCAAATCCAAGAAATGGAATTTCCTCCGGAATTTAAAGAAAATTATACCCATAGATTTCAAGTTAGAAAAAGAAACCAAGAATCGCTACGGAATCGACACCCCTAGAAGCCAAACCGGTGAGGAAGATGACGGTGATTTAGGAATGGCGTCGCCGTCTTCCCGGGGCGAAAACGTTCAGTGGGCACAGGGAAAAGCCGGAGAAGACAGAGTCCATGTCGTGATCTCCGAGGAACACGATCTGGTTTTCGTCGGAATCTACGATGGCTTCAACGGCCCAGATGCCACCGACTTTCTGCTGCAAAACCTCTACACAAACGTGTTCAGAGAGGTGAAGGGAGAGTCAGCCGACGTGTTGAACGCCATGGCCGAAGGGTTGAAGAAAACAGAGGCGGATTATTTGAACATAACGGACCTAATGCTGAATGAGAATCCAGAACTGGCATTGATGGGGTCTTGTGTTTTGGCAATGCTGATGAAGGGCCAAGATGTGTTCTTGATGAATGTTGGCGATAGCAGGGCGGTGTTGGCCCGGGTACCCCGTGAGTGCCACGGGAATGGAAGGCCGAGGGCGAGCCACGACCTTTACAAAACCATGTCGGACCTCAAACACAACCTGGTTTCTCATCAGCTCACGGTCGACCACACCACTTCTTCAAAAGAGGTGTGTGAAAAACTCAACCAGAAATTCAAACTTACAGCAGATATATAACTAAACTGCATGTCAGTATCAGACAACCTTAAAAATCGTGTTGTGGTGCAGGAAGCGAAGAGAATCAAGAGGGAACACCCGAACGATTCGTCAGCAATCAAGAACGACAGGGTGAAAGGATCATTAAAAGTGACTCGGGCTTTCGGGGCAGCCTATCTCAAACACGTACGTTACAAAACGAATGACTCGCGCGACAAATTTCATTCATATTACTACTATTTATGTACCTAAACTGGCACCATCTTTTTTGCATTTGACAGCGTAAATGGAACGATGCGGTTCTTGAAGCATTCCGAGTGGAGTATAAAGGCAACTCTCCCTACATAAACTGCACCCCATCACTTCACCACCACAAGCTATGCCCAAGGGACAAGTTCTTGATCTTGTCATCAGATGGACTCTACCAATACTTCACTAACAGTGAAGCCGTGTCTGAGGTCGAGACGTTCATGTCCATATTCCCGGATGGGGATCCTGCACAGCATCTCGTTGAAGAAGTCGTGTTCAGAGCAGCGAAGCAAGCCGGGATGGACTTCCATGAACTGCTGGATATACCACAAGGGGAACGGAGAATGTACCACGACGACGTCTCCATTATTGTTATTTCTTTCGAAGGAAAGTTATGGCAATCGTCGATGTAATTATACCACATTAGATTTATAAGATTTAGGAGAAAATTTCCATGAAAAAAATTGGCCCCATTTTTGCAAGTAGTTTTCATAGTAGTTTGTTGATTTGGGGACTGTATGTACTCTGAGAATAACCCCCTTTTTTGCTCAAATGTGTTACATTATACACAACACTGAAAAAGAAAACTTTGTATAAAGAAATATACACAGAATACAAATCTTTGTAGCTTAATATGCCAATTCATTGAACTCACTGGTGTTGTTATATGTTCCTCATTGTTGGCTATTTCAGACGTTATGACTAGTATATTTCCAGTAAAACTACTAACACTATGTTTGGATTAACGATTTAGATGGAAAAGAAAAGAAAAGAAGTTTTTTTTTTTTCAAATTTTCCTTTCCAAAATGGTAGGAATATAATTTTGTTTTCCCTCTCCTTAATTGGTTTTGTATTATAGTTTTTTTTCTTTCGAGCTTTCTTTTCCATTCCTTTTTAACCAAACTATAAAAAGTATTTTTCATCTTATTTTCTTTTCTTTTCCTTCAAATTCTTTAAACCAAACACATTGTAAAGGTTAAGGGGTGTTATGGTTAAACCAAATACATGATATCAAATTTTGGTATTTAGTCAATTTTTTTTTGAGGGAGGTATTTAGTCAAATTGTCTAGGCAAAAAATGAAAACTCTATACATTTAAATGCGCCACAATAAACCAAGTGATTGAAACAAATTACACAACCATTTCATGGCACTTACCTAATGCAATCACTTGACCACTAATGTCAAACATGGCCAAACGATACTGTCATGTCTAGGTAAAAAATGGTAAACTAAAGCAGGGTAAAAAATGCTAGGCAAAAATAGCTATTTTACAATTTCATAGTATGACAGGTACTGCCCTACTGGAGTTATATATTTGACTTTTGATTCCATTTTTTACCTGAGTAGATTGTTGTACAATTAGCACTAAAGAAATGAATCTCCCTACGATTAAAATAGGGAGTGGTTCTCTTAGGGTGTCTTGTTCTTAAAATTAATGATTCATACACCTAAATCCTCCCAAACTCCCTCTCCTCCCACTTCTGTCCCCATCCCCAATTCGCCTATTGGCAGCAAAGTGTGGGAGTTGGACCATAGGATTTAGGGCGGGAATGAACTCAATGAAGAAGTATATGATGTTATGAGGTGATAATCCTTACCGATAAAAATAATAGTCCCTAATAACAAATGTCTTGTTTTGACAATAACATTATAGGTTAGAGTTTTTTCTTAGAACAATGTTTAGCTTTAGAGTAACGTTAGAGACTAGAGTTAGCGATTTGAAAACACTACATAACGGCAGTTTTTAGCTTTAACGTTTTCAAAATCATCAGCACCATTAAAATTCTTTTCCTAACGCAAACACTAGTCAAAATTGCTATTCCCAAACAATGTCTAATTACTCCATGTTTTTACTCGATTAAAAATAATAATAAACCCTTCTTCTTGATAAGAAATTTACATGTTGGTTTCACAGAATTTATAAAACTAAAAGAAAATGTGTAGTTATAATCTTTGCTAGACGAAAAAGAGATGTTATGAAGTTTATATTCTTTTCAATAATTGAAAAATAAAGAAATTTAAAATTTATTTTAGATCTTAAATAAGAAATTTCAAAATTCATTTTGAGACGCCGGGAAAATTTAAGTGTCGTCGGAACAAGAGCACAATTGTCAAAGATTTGAATAGGGAATTTCGGGCAGGGCGGGTCGAAGCGCGGAAGGCGAATGGTGAAAAGGAGGCATTAATAGGAGTCAAATATAAGAGCATAATTCTCATTTGACCATTTCTGCGCGTCCAGGCCATGGATTATTGCTCGTATTATTACGCTAATCCGTTAATCTCCCTATTCCATTTTTAGAGTTGACCAACTAGTCAACTCTTACATGTGTGATTCAAAAGTGATGCCCAATTTTATACTTTCTCCATTTCATATTATCTGCCAATTATGACTTTTTAGATGCATTGAAAAGTGAATGAATATAGACATAAAAAGTATGTCTACATTCATTTAATTTTTAATGTATCTAGAAAGTGTTAATTGGCCGCAGTTGTCGAATTGAGGGAGTAGGCCGATGGCTTGGTGTTACTTGACTTCGTCTCAAGTTCTAGATTTTTTTAGGGGAGATGTGTTCAACTTTGAAGATATTAAAGATAATGATTTTATGTATTGTATATTTATCTAGATTTGTTGTATCTTGTTTTGATTTAATTTGTTTGTATACGTTTATTTAATGAATGTTGTTATTATACTGTATTAGATAAGTCCTTTACTCAAACTCTTACTTTATATCTATTTAAATATTCTTCCATCAATGATACAACTATTACTTCGTTTGATACAATCTACTCCCTCCGCCCCACTGTCTTTGTCCACTTACCTTTTGGCACACCATCCAATGCACTTCTTTAATCCATTTTATCTTGTAATTTGTATATTAAAAAATTATAGAAATTATATATTAATAATCTATATGTTAAGACAAACCAAACAAGATCAGACATGACTATATTTAGGCTTACACATTGAGAGAATTTGATGAGTCAAAGTGCTTAGATGAACAGTTCCAAAAGTCAAAAGTGGACAAAGACAGTGGGACGGAGGGAGTATATGGTATCAGAGTTTTATGGTTATTTTTTCCTTATTTTATCTTCCCTTCTCTCGATTGTCTTCCTCTATCAACTAGCCTGCCGGTAGGTGGCAAAGAGATATTTACAAGAAGCTGGTCGTGCTTATTTTGAAACATTCAGCAATTATGAAACTTTTTAAGATTTGGTTTGTTCTTAGTATTTCTCTTGCTCACAAATGGTCTTTGCAGAAACTAGATATTGATAATGTTGTTCTTAATGGCAAGCTCTCTAAATAGGTTTTTATGAATCAAGCACAAGGTTCATCCGGATTTTCGTATGTATGTTGTTGTCTAAGGCTATTTATGAGCTCAAACAGGCTCCACGGTTTGATATGATTCGTTATCTAGTTTCTTACTTTCCAAAGGTTTCTGCAAGTCGCAGACTAACTCCTCTTTCTTTGTGTATGCCAAAGATCATGACTTACAAGAAATTCCTCTTTCTTTGATATGATTCAATGAATTGTTTTAAATTTACGCAAAGTTAGCTAGATTTTAATATACTTTATCATAGGATTTTATAGGATTATGTTTTTCTTTTTTTCTTTTATTTTTATTTTTTTTCTTTCTTCTTTTTCTTTTCTTTTCTTTTTTTCCTCCCCCAAGAACCCTAGCCCATTCTTCCATCTTTAGTTCTTTCCGTTTCTTTCTTTTCTTTTTTCTTTTTCTTTTTTTTCCTTCTTCCTCCAAAAACTTTATCTAAAACCAATTCATATTCGTGAACAACTTCTCATTTTCTAGACCTGTGTAAATCTACAAACCCTTCCCCGGATTATTCTCCCACTCGATCAGTGGCCATGGGATTCGAGAAAGACAGTGAGAAAGACGAAGCGAGAATCCAAGATCGCTGACCATGGGATTCGAGAAAGACGAAGCGAGTTCATCCTCACATGTTTGCCGAAACCATCTATCGTCAGTCCCTGACGAAAACCCTAGCCAGTGTTTTCATAGCGATCGTCGGATCATACATGAAGGAGACAACCCTGCGTGGAGTTGCAAAATCTTTGCATTTTTTGTGAGATTTTGGACTTAGATTTTAATTTATACCCAAAGTCCAAAATCCATATATTATAGAAATCTTTTAAAATCTATTGATTTTTGAATACCATTATATTTATTAGGATATATTAAAATCTGAATTGAATACCTCCAGATTTTAAATGACTCTTTAAAATCTAGATTGAATACCCAGACTTTTAAAATCCAAAAAAATACTACAGAATCCAGATTGAATACACCCCAAAAAATACTACATAATCCAGATTGAATACTACAGAATCCAGATTAAAAAATACTACAAAATCCAGATTAAAATCTAGATTGAATACCCAGACTCCATATATTTCCAACGTCCTTGAAGCATTGACATGGCAAATGTGAGAGGCAGCTCCAAACTGATGATGACACATGATCTTAATGCATCTCACATGGCAGCTCCTCCTACCAATGCCATGTCATTTGGTCGATCGGTTACAATACTACATCTCTCTTGACGGGCCTAATATATCTTTTGTTGTTAATCACCTCTCAATATATGCATGCTCCTACCACCTCCTTTCGAGATGCCCTCGAACGTGTTTTCTAAATTGTTCACATAGACTAAATGTTGAGCGCTTTCCAATGTTGTGGGCTAACTAGCTCGGGTTCAAAATCTCTTACGCGAGCTACGTGTGGGCTCGCTAGCTACCTGCTCCGCACCTTATGATAATCTCAATGCTATGTGCATAATACCTATGCAAAAATTTAGTTTTTCACTCAAATGAATGAGGCATCTTGCTTCTGACAATTTTATTAATCGTGATCTGGTCATCTTTAAGCAACTATCTTCACAAAGCCTCTGAGACGTGCTTTGTTTCACAAGTTCATTGAAGTTTTGCTGTATCTTGTTTTCATATTATCCTTTTGCATACGGTATTTAATGTTACTATTCATTTCAAATTTTTGAAGATGTTCTCAATTTTAATGTAAGCTGCAAACAATTGATAGTAAAAATAACTGCCCCCTTGGCTAGATACTTCAACAGAATCTGTAGATAATTCGGAGTAAAACAAAGGGGCAAAGGCAGTAAAAAGTTTTTTCAAGCTAAAAAGTACTCCGTAAAAAACACATATACTATCTTCTTTTGGTAATGCACTCCGTAATTTGTTTTAAGAAACGCTTACCATATGAACCGTTGGACCGCAGTTTCACGGGGAGTCCAAGAGAATGGCCGAAACAAGAACATGAACATAGTAAAGCAGTTAACGGCAGCGTACATCAGTCCCATCACGAACCAACTTCTGTCGTCGTTAACATGGGAATGGAGAATCAGAAAGAAGAATGGAATGGTAAAGTATCTGAACTCTATGAGTGGAGCAGGGATAAGGGTAGCTGCAGTTGCTAAGAAGTATGCCACCACCCATAGCCTTTTCTGCCTTTCTGCTGCAGTTTAAAAAAATAAATGATGAATTCAATGTGATTAACATTTTACCACCAAATATTTTCAATTAAACAAAAAAATCTTGATAAGGTAATTATGCCTTGTATAGAGCAAAAGCTGACCTAAGATACTGAAGATGGAAAGCCACAGATACGTGGAAACCGGAACAAGAAGGTACTTCATCAACCAGTGGCGATTTACGACCTTCCTCCAAAGATAAAAGGTATAGTGGCGATTATCGGCCAGGAGATAGGGATGAGCAATGCTGCAACATCCATTAAGTATAGGTCAGTATGTCACAATGATTACATATTTATGTTGTGTTTGTCATATCTTGTATAGTAGTAACCAAATATGCCTTTTATTTGTCAAATAAGCATAATTTTTTTTACAACATTAATTTTCACATGTAAGCAGTTCTTATTTCATACCTAAAAAAATGCACCGATATGAAACCAGCAGTCAAGGCCAGTGACAATTTAAAGAGGCTAATCAGTTTATTATGACTCCTCCAGAATGACGGAGCTATCTGTAAGAATTTCACTGGAGAGAAGTGGACGGGTGCCATAAAAAGGGCAGATACCAAGCTGAAATACAGAACCTGTGCAAAATGGGGGGAAACAGCATGTGCTTCCTTTGCACCTGCATTGGAAAAACTAAATTAACCTTTTTAACCAATATATATATAAACTGGTTTATAATTCACACAGAGAGGGAAAGAATGAGATACCAAGAACAATACTCCCATTCCAATGCACAAAAGCGATGAAACCCAACAATGTTATAAAGAATGGATAAAAAGAAGCCAAAAGATTCCACTTCATCTTCCATGATGATGACACAACATCTCTTAAATCATCAAACAAGTCTGCAAATTTCAAATTTAGTGACACCTCTAAGAATTGCAACTTCAAATTATAATTTGTTACCAGGAGCACCAAATACCAAACATGCTTCTAATGGAATCACAAGAAAATAAAAAGAAAATGACTATTGACCTGATGCATTGTGCGAGGAACTTGCAGTCGTCTGGCTATTCGAATGGCTCTGCGTATTAGCATGAGTAGCAGTTCTACGTTTTCTCATGTTTGATCTCATCTGATTAGAAGGTAACATAGTGTCTTCCTGAACGAGTTCTTCAGAGTCAGCATACTTCCTGTTGTCCTTCTGGCGATCAAGAGTAAAATCTAAAACTCCTGTGCACGCTATGAATATCATCCACACAATATTTGTTTGTCGCACAAACACAGCCAAAGCACTGAGCTACAAAGAAGAGATGGATTAGGTTTTGAGCACAGAAGCCTTCAATAGTAGAATTGAATTTTCAAAAACTAATTGCATGCGCAGGAGACTTGGAATGAGTGGACATTACTTCAACCATCCATCAAAGAATCCAAGAAAAAGAGACATGTTTCATGACTTTCTTTTGTCTCCTAAGAGAACCATGGTTCAATAATAGATACTCCGTATCAACTTTTCATTGAATAGGATGCTAGTTTCCCAACCAAAGAAATTCCAATCAAGTATATATCTTAAATTCAGTTGAGCAAACAAATAAACTAAAAAATATGTAGGATTCATTTCCTATTTAATAAGGTAGTGACAGCCAACTGGTAGGGCTTGCAGCATAAAACATTGCCACTATGCATTTCTGCATGCATTAATAGTTTCTCCATGCTTAGCTTTATATACAACTAAATAGAACTTCCTTTTTTAATACCATCAATCACAACTATTAGGGATTAAGGTGTTGGTAATGATGATGATCCATTAAGTAGGACTCATCATAATTTATAAAAGTCATACCTCGATCTAACATGAGTTCCTTTGGAATGAAGTCAGTACTTAGAAAGAGCCAAAACTTCTATCATCAAATATAAAATCTCAAAAGCTGATTCCAGAAGAGACATAAACCAATGTATTGCATATTATTCCTAGTTGCTCAAGTATTAGTAAGTATAGTAACAACAACAAATCCTAGTATAATCCTAACTCCATTGGGGCCAGGGAAAGGATTTGCCTTAGATCCTTAATAAATTGCTGCATATACTGCAAAAAACTTCTTAGAGAGTATGAGGCAAGGGAAGTTAAATGTGCCTTTTTTATTTAGTCCATTATGTGCCCGAAACTAAAATATTGTCAATGATTACTCTTTTAGCTCCATTAGCAATAGAGGGGACACTCAAGTAGTAGTACAACACCAACCTTGTAAAATCCCACGAAAGAGTGTGAGGGTACCCCTACTCTAAAGTAGAGAGGCTCCAGTATTAGTAAGAGCAGAAATTATACAAACTTCATCCTCTTACCAATGCACTGAAGGGATAATTCTTCTTGAGACTCATGAGGTAAGAGGCAAGAACTGCAGCTAGTGACGCAACGTCAGTATAATAAAGAAATGTGAAGAACCAGTGAAGGGGATACAAAGCTAAGACAACTGCCTGAAAAGTTGCTTTCTTGTCACTGAGACCTGGCTTAAGAAGTGTGATTAGATCATAAACCAGAATGCTGCAAATTACAGCCAAAACACCATTGACAAGGCGCAAAATTGGGGTGGTGCAAGTTTCTGAAAAAGATGAGGCCACTTGCATGGAGGTTAGCCCTGGAAATAGAGAAGCAACATGGGCAAGCGACACAAAGTACCTGCGTGAATACATCAGATTTTTTCCCATGAATTGCATAAAAAATAATTACAAGCATATTACTTCCAGATTTAACTTTGTACGGAACATATTTTATTTTTCCCCAATGATGAGTAGCGAAAAAATTTAAAATACTCATAGGAATTAGTACTCCCTCTTTTAGTCTGTTCCATTCCTATTTATTTGTCTTCATTGACTAAAACACACCGTTTAAGAAATGCATATGATTGATAAGTCTATCTTGAAAAGTTATAGTTTACTTAGCCCCATTTTATGCGGAGTAGTTATTTACTTCGTACTACTTACTAACGATTTAATAATTAATATAACTAGTATAAGAAGAGTAAAATTTAGATTTTTTTTCTTCTGAGGGGGGTTATAGATCACAAAAAAGGATAGCTAAAAAGGGACAATAACATGAATAAGAACTTACTCTAAAATATTTGTACCAGTGTCATTCAACATAAATATAATAAAAAATTACAACAAATGTTGTTTTAGTTTTAAAGACCTAGCATGTCTAAGAAAACAAACAAGTTTTGAATAACCAATTGGTTCTTCTACATATGAAAACAAAGTATAGTCACATTGCCAAATCTAAATAAGTTTTCTAACCACGTCCTATGGCATGAAACATATAAGCCCAAATACTAGATGGCATAGCAGATAAGAAATGACCCACAAGCCAGGAGGAGTGGTTATCATTGGATCCCAGCTTGTGAAATTGCCTTTGCAGTATTGTTGAGCTTGAGGTATATGAAATATCTCATCCTGCAACATAAATTAAGGTAAATATGATGCCACATTGTGCGCTTGTACGAATTTGAGAAGAAAATTGTATGAAAAAATCAAAATTATTAACCATGTAAGGCTCAGGGACAATGAGATTGACTAGAACTGATACGGGAATCACCCACAAGCTTGCAATGAATGCTACCGCTACTTTCCCCATTTTTGCTTTCCACCCGGAAAGCCACAGCCTATTATAATGATTAATACTGATTCAACAGAATGATTCGCCCAAAATCCAAATTCTTAATGGGGTGCAGGAATTGAAGGAAGGAGCTCGAATTTGAAAATCCAGAAGGAAAAATCCCCCCAATCCAAAAATCCAGAATCGATTCAGTCGTTTAACACAAGTCCAGGATCGAAAAGAATAGTTAATCACCGCCAAAGAAAATATGCGCAAGTTCCTCAAGCAGCACTGAAGGCGTGAACGGAATGCAGGAACTTGATGTGTGGATTGCTCGGTCTCTCAGTCGGTTGTATAATTAGATGAACTATGTTTAGACTTTAGATTGTGATTGAAGCTATCGGAAGTGCCGCAGATGGAGCTGGTCGCCGACGCCACAATATCATGGACTCAGAAGCTCCATCCTGATGAGTATTTCCAGGATCGATGATCCTACTACCAATCCGTCTTCTCCATCGCGAGTTAATTCAGATTTGGGGTTTGGGAAGTTCAATAGAGAAATCTGTTGTAATGCCCACGTCACTAGTCCTTAACGGTTTGACCAGTGGGATAGGGCTGATTCACGCGAATTCGTACTGGCTTGAAATAGATTAACTGCATTGCCATTGCTTGTATGTTGTTTGTTAGCCGCTCGCTATTGGCAGTTCGGGTCACTTATTATGAATTTATTATGAATGACTGTTTAGTTCAGCTGATTTCACTAGCAGAATAAATTTGTTGATCGTTAAAAATGTTTGGTAAAATTAACTGTTTGAAATAGTTTTTTCTTATATATATATATATATAGACACAATATTTATTTTTCATTTTTTTTACACGTAAAAATTAAATTTTTACTATATGGAGTATCAAATTTTACTTTCATTTAATTCATAAGAAATTATTAATATACAACTTTTTAATGATTTATACTTTTTATTTTCTCATTTCATTTTTTTTAAATTTTAAATTTTTAAATTTTATTTTTTTTTTCAGTATTTAATTTTTTAACTTTTATTTTTAGTTTTTAAATATATTATAAAATATCTTTCACGAAAAATGACTTTAAAAAAATTAATTTTTCTAACAGTCCAAAAACTACTCCCCTCGGCATTTCAGATTTTGGCTTTTCGGATCAAAATGCTAAGTGAAAAAGTCATTAGCCAAACAATGGTTTTGGATGTTCGTTCAGTCAAAAAAGCCAAAGTCAGTCAAACATGTCAAAAGCTATTTGAAAAGCCGTTTTCCAAACATACAATGGTGTGGACCAAATCGATTCAACCATTGGTTCAGGGTCATAACCGGATGTTTCGGTACTGACTGCAGCTACAGACTAATATTCCATTTGTTGGATGAAAAAACGGAGCAACGATTTAATTTTAGACATATTACAAAGGGAAGCGAGATTTTTTTATTTGTTTTGTAATTTTTGAAAATCGAGAGAGTATTTATGCCCATGTCATGTTCTTGTCAACTTTTTTTACTTATTAATTACTTATTCTTATTGGAATGAGATTAGATCAGAAATAAATTTAAATATAACTGTATACAAATCAGACAACTTATTTCATTCAAATCAGAACCAATCACATCTAGTAAAGAGAACTTGGCGCCAATACATTATTTTCCAAAGAATATTCCCTCCTGTTCACAATTTTCTTTTCCTTTTGGTTTGACATGTTTTTATTACAATGCAAGATAAAAAAGGTAGAGAGTATTTGACTTAATTTTTTTAATGTGATGTTCCTTCGTCCCGCACAAAGTTTCCATCTTTTTTATTCCATCATAAAAAAAGATTTCATTTTTTTATTTTTACAAGAGTTTTTGTTGCTCATATAATTATTTCTTACTCATCTGCACCGCTTTCAATCGTATAATTTTACGTCGGTAGGCATCGTGCAATTGACAAAGTAAAATGTGCCGAAGGGATAACACCTGAGTTCAATTCCTAGCAATTACGTTGGTCGCTGGGAGACAATTATGCTAAACATAATTTCTCTGCAAGTATGCTTCATTCTTTTTGATCAATATGTAATAAAATTTAATTTACCTTTTTTCAGGTGATCATCCGATTGATTCTGAGAGATCCTCAGAAATGATGTTCATCTTTTTTCTTTAATCGTACAATTTTTCTTTTCCTTTGGTGCCAAGCAAGCAAAATATATTACTCTTTTGTGAAACAAAACTACAAAAGAATACACTCACAAGAGATAATAAACTAATAATTTAATTATAAAATAACGGATAGTTTTTCATTTAAGAAAAAACAAAAACAATATTAAATTGTCTAGAAAAGAAAACGAGTAAAAAAAATAAAGAAATTACTCCAAATAGGAGTAAAACATAGCATTTATCCTCAAAATAGAAGTTCTATATTTTATCCAAAAATAAGAGTTTTGCATGGAATATTGTGACATTGTATAGTGGCATCTTAGTGTATTTTTTGGTACAATATATTGATATTGTATTCCTATTTTGAAGATAAAAAACATGAAACTGCGATCTTGGTAATTTCTCCATCTTTTACTTCTATTTTAATCCTTTTCCCAATATACTCCATACACACTCCGATGGGATAAACGAGCAAGTAAATCGCTAATTCTCTTTATGTATATAATTTACAAACGACTATAACTGGTTTTGATTTCAAAGATTGCCCATCATTTGCATAAGTTGCATCAGTACGATTATCATAATTACGATTACATACGAATCAAATATGTTCACTTTGGTTCGTAATCCGTATTCAAAAAAGGCGATTCATATCCGATTAACTCAAATTCGAATCCAAACTCGAATCGAATTTTGCATTCGAATCTTATCAAATACAAATACTAGGATATATGATTCGAATATAATTCGAATTATTTGCTTATTACAAATATAAGTAAATAAATATATATCATGAATCATTTATAGACAATAGATTAAAATAAATGGCTCAAATATTTCCTTAACATAAAAACCATTTTATAATTTAAAAAATGTAAAATATTCCGAACATTCGCAAAAATATTTGAATAATAATTCGAATCCGATACGGATATTGTTTACGATTCGAATACGAACCTACAAATTTGAATATCTCCAACTTTTTTTGAATTCGGATAAAATATGCATGTATTCTATTGGATTTGCATGCATCCCTAATCATTGTACACCAAATTAAAACCTGACTATAGCAAAGATACATATATACTGTAGGAATTGTTGGGTGACATCCCAATCCCACACTGGAGTAACATTTGGACCTAAATAAATGGGTTAAATCCAACTCATTAGTACTCCGTATGCGGCATTTTGGAAGGTATCTAAAAATAAAATCATAAGAATTTGGTACAAAACAGACAATATCATATTAATGCGGATTGAAACGAGGGTACGCGCGGTCCCATATATTATAGAAGCCCAGATTTTGAGTGGGCAAGAATGACAAACTGCGACATTCAGAATTCTTGGATTTGACGACATCCGACCGAAGGAGTTCCATGTGTTGTGCGGATTGCAACGGTAATAGAGCACATCGAATATGGATAATTGGTGGAGGTGAGGTTTGTTGGGTGACAACCCAATCCCACGCCGGAGTAATATGAAAAAATGGACTTTAATAAATAGGTTCAACCAAATCGATTAGTATGAGGCCTTTATGGAGGTCTTGAAAAATAATATCATACAGATGAGGGATTGGAGTGAGGATACATATGGTCCCAATAGTGATACGGGCCTAACCATACTTGGTTGAAGATAAAATCCGACTCACATGCATCGAATGACCCATTGGGGTTACCATGGCCCATGGGCAGGGGAAGAGCAAAATGAGTTCAAGGCACGCCTGAGCCAAATCGAGAAGGGTGCTAGACAATCACAAGGGAGTATGGAGATCAATGGCGTAAAAAAGAAGGCTAAAAGAGCATACCTCAGCTCATCCTTGAATAATCCCATTTAGGCACAACGCTCCCGGCATAGGCGAACGAACAGGGGCTGAGAGGCACGAGGCTACCCTCAAACATTAGCTATAGTGCAGACTAATACACAAGCCATCACTACAAATCAGGGCAAAAAATAAATGCCTTATGCTAGAATACAAGTTACAACCACACACTTTCATATCAATGGAGTAATAACTCTAAAAACTTTGTATAGTCAATTGTAAAACCTTATTTTGGGACGACAAATTATTAGAAACACCTCATAATACGAGCATATTAGGGACATTCCACATAAGACATTACCTTTAACAATATCGTATCCTCTCACAAACACACGCAGATAGTTTGCGCATAGACAATTACGTAGTATTATTCTATATGTGCATGCAAGACACTATGATCTCAAATGTAGGGTTCCCCAAACTTTTTGTGAACTATCTAATCCTCAATTGGTACTCCAATTAAATGGCAACTTGACAATAGGCGTGATGAAATGGACAGTCACACAGAAGGAAACAAAAAGGAACACAGTCATGACTCATGACTAAAACAGAAAAGAATGGCAAAAACCAGCAACACTCACAAGTATACATTGCAGTCTAAAAATCCATCATTTTCCTCTGCCTGCGTGTCTGCCTTTCCCTAGCAGGTTCCTCGGCCGTCCAATGGCCAAAATATCCCCTCTACCGATATCCACAATTTTCGGGAAATTGTCAACAGCATTTCCCGTCTCCGCCGCATCTACTGCACAATCCGGCGGTAAGAAGACAAATCAGCCACCGTACAATATCTCAAATGAATGCGAATTAGGTTTAAATACATACATAATACTGCAATTTACCTTCAGGTTTAGGAAATGCCTTGAACCCTCTGAACTGAGCCATTTCTGAAATTAGCAATTCGCACAACTCGATTAGCAAAAAAATGTTCGCGAACAGAATCCGCGGAAGTGAGATGAATTGAATTTTTATGGCGTGGATTGGATTGACTGACTCACCGTTCTCAGAAGGAGTGCGAGACGAGAGGTAGAGGATGAGGAAGCAAATTAGAATCAGGACGGGGATGAGATGGACGAAGTACTCGGATTTGGAGAGATGCTTCGCGGACTTGCGTTCCTCGTCTTCTCCGGCGTAGTTGACTTGGATAGAGACGAAGGAATCCGCCGCTGTGACGCCGGCGGATGAGGCGTCGTCGCGGCCTCCTTGAGCGTGGTGGAGCTTCGATCCAGGCGAGCCGAGGGATTGCCGATGCATTTGTTCGAATTGAAGGAGCGCGAGAAAATGTGAGAATGACGGTGGTTGAGTGCCGCTCGGCTATTTAAATTTACTCCATAAAATTAGAAATTAGGTTAATACAGCCTAATACGTTTGGTATATTAAAATTTGAGATAATAATACTAATTATGTTGTTTGGTAATGCAAAAATGTGTAGATTTGAAATTTCTAGTGCCAAAAATGAATTGAAATTATGTAACAATTTCATAGAATGGCAACTCACAATTCAATTTCAATTACGTAAATTCTGTGTATCAAACCGGATCCACAAACTCCAATTTAATACTTTGATTTCTAATATTGATATATATATACAAAAATATATTTCATCAAAAAAAATATATTTTATAAAAAAGTTTTTTACTTCAAGACTATGTATCAAAGGGATCTCTTGATATTATATTTATATCGAAACACAATGCATTTTTTATAAATCAAAGTCAAAGTTTACAAACTCTGATTTAGAAAAATCAAATAACAAGATTATCCTCACAGTTATTAATCTAGTTTATCAATGATTTTTGTTTGTTTGTATATTTTCGGGAAAAAAGACTAAAATAAGAGTAAAACATTAAAAATATACCAAAATAGAACTCTCATGTTTTTATTTCCGAAATAAGAGTTAAAATACATTTACATTACCAAACATGGTCATATACATCACCAAAAAGTATAACAATGTGTGCATGTACAGTGTGACATTACAATCACATTAACATAGTGCGAAGTCTTATTTCGAGAATAAAAACATGTAAATCCAATTTTGATACTTTTTTCTATGTTTTAGTCCTATTTAATCTGATTTCTAAATAAATTATGCATGCAACTTTATATTTTGTAGAACTTTTGATATAACTTTAAAATATGAAATTTACAATTCTATACAAATTTGTAAACAAAATAAATTTTCATATATCATTTGATACACAAATACTGAGTATAGTGATGTCACATTTTTATAGACTTTTATGTATTTTTTAAATATATGAATTTTATTTTTTTATTTATTAAATAAATTGAGTAGGAAATACTCTTTCGAGAGATGGTGATTTTTTTTAAAATTTTTTTAAGCTGGATGAACATTAACTTGCAATTAAATAAAACTCATAATGTATAACTGTGTAAAAAAATAATCTAATTAGATTTATGGTATTTGTTATACTAATATTCAATAGTAATTGTAGGTCAAGTTTATCTAATTTGATTCTAGAGTAGTAGCTATTAATATATTGAACCAAGACTAAAAAGTGTCCTTCACGGGCCGGAAGGTTCGCCGGTCTCCAGGGACAAGTTCTAGGCTTCACAAATTCACACACCTGCCTTGCCCAGAACGAAACCGAATGGTCAATTTGTTCATACTTCTCCAGAAAATCAAAAGTGAAACTCATTCGCGGACATTTACACTGGTTCTGGTGTTGCATTTTGAGATAGATATATAGATTATAGATCGATAGAGAGGAACAGAATTTAAAAGAAGAAAAAAGCTTTGGAGGAAGGAGGAAGGTGTTGCGACTGGGGGGGAAATGGTTCTGTGGGAGATTACATTGGCATCGGCGTATTTCCTGGGCTTGAAGAGAACCTACAGACTCGCATTGAAGATTCAGCGGCGGGTGATTAGCCCTGAGTATCCTAAGATTCGTCAATTTGCTTACAGGTAATCTCGATCGTCGTACACCTTTCTTTTCAATTCACGATATTGGTGGCTCAATCTAAGTGTAGCGCCTTTAAAAAAAGATGAAATATGTTCATGAATTTTCCGTGCAATGTCCTGATAATCCTAGATAGAATCCTTGGTTATATCTGAAGGTCGAATTAGTTTGATAGATATATCATATATATACTCCTTGAAATGGTGAGCGCATCTGGAACTCTACCTTAGGATGTGATCTAATATTACTATGTAGTCTTCATCTGCACTGCTAGTGTAACCAGTGCCAAGTAAATCTGTATACATCTCACCCTCTCTAGACTCTTCTTCCGAGTTCAGAATCAGATATATTGTGTAATAGATCCTTCTTCCAAGTTTCGAATGAGTTATATTGTGTGTAATAGACCCTTCGTCCGAGTTCTATATGGGATATATTGTGTAATAGACCCTTCTTCTGCGCTCCGAATGAGATATAATAATATATTGCGTGTAATAGACCCTTCTTCCAAGTTCCAATGGGATATGTTGCATATGTTTTGCTGTTTTGGTTTATCTGCTATTTTCTTTTACCTCCTTGCATAGTTCTCTCCATAATGTATCTGCTAAGTAAGTCGAATATGCTTGGTTATGGGTAGACAAAAGGTAGTAGATAATTAAGGGGAAGGTTAGCTAGACTTTTTGAAGGGTTGAACTGTTGAAATGACCAAAAAAGGAAAGATGTCATTCTTCTTGGTTCAACCCAAAAAAAGAAAGTGTGCCATACTTTTAGGGATGGACGGAGTATATTTTATTCATGTTCGGTTTAAAATGAAGTATGACATCGACAAATAGTGTTGGTGACTTTACATGAGGATACAAAGATGTGAAGATCTTTACCTGTAAAATCACAACAGACATATACAGAGTAATTCTTTGCACAATATAATAGGAGATGCATATGTATACATGGAATTAACTTGTGTCAACATCGTGTGTCTACTGGTTTGAATCTATTGTAGAGTATATAACTATGAAGTAAACTTCACTTCTTGAGAAGTGAGAACCTTTTCAGCGCAAGCAAGGCCCAATTAATATAACTGTAATTTTGCAGTGTATTGAGATCGTCGTTGATTTACAAATTTCAATGTTGTAATGAAGCCCCAATGTAACAAATATTTTCAAACTATTGTTCATATTTTTCGTCCATATTTTTGTTTCTTTGCATTATTCCTTCTTACAAAGGTTGTAACAATAAGGTATCTAATGTAACATTGCCACTATGCTTTTGCGTGAATTTATAGTGTTAATTATTTTTGTACACTTAATCCCAAGTGGTCGGGGTTAGGGCAGTGGTGATGATAATGATGATATGTGTTTGTGTGTGTGTATCAGAAACATCACAATTTAAATCTGTAAATTCTATTTTTTGCTTTCTCTGTATGGGTGTGTTCAGAAACGACATTTTTTTCTGTAGCTTACAAGTTAGGAGTAAGACAATGCCCAATGGTGTGTGGGATTTAGGAATTCTAAGCCAATTTTTTTAGGGGAAGAATTCTAAGCCAATATGATAAATGACACATTATCAGCATTATAATATTTTTAATACTAAATGCCTTCTCTATCACACAATGGAGGAATTGTGTTTGGAGTTCTCATTGACAATATATTACTTCATAAATTTAATGTGGACCTTAGTTGATGTTGTAAAAGTTTAAAAAAAATACGGAGTATGCAGCTTTGCAGTGGAGAGCCGCATGTGATTGGCTCATTGGAGCTCTCCCAATTTCAATCTCTCTCTTCCTTTATTAATTTTTATTCAATTTCAGAATTCTTCAACCCTGGGTAGTCTAATATTTCAAGTCTTCTATATTTCTGTGCAAGTTACCATGCAATTTTGCGCAATGCAGTAATTTTCTCAAATGGATCAAGAAACCTTGTCATTTTTGTATGGTGGAACCATTTGGATTGCTTTTCGTTATGTCAGCTAGCTCTGATTGTATTGCAGGCGAACAAGGGGTGTGTTTGATGTGGCACTGAAGGTCCATAGGAAAATACAAGAGAGAGATCTTGAAGCCGGGAGAAACCTGGGAAACTGGATCCTTAGATGGCTTGATAAAGCAAAGCCAACCGCAAATATCCGAGGACAACACCCCCCTCCTTGTATCGGTGGCGGCAGCCAAAACACCAAAATCACTGATAAGAAGCCCGATGGGTTCCGGAAGTATGACCCCCTTAACCACCAGGATAAGGGTCCCAGCAGGCATCTGTCTACCTCATTATCATCATCTTCTTCTTCATCAAGGAATTTGTTGTTGCCTAAAACGTTTCCTAGTGTTGCAATGATGATGAGGCCGGGGGTGGCGGCAACTACCACTGCTACTAGCATCCACCACCAATTCAGGCAGCTCAGTATTTACCGGCAGCCTGCTGATTCCACCAAAGCCAGTCTTGGAAGCTTCTCCTGCAATGGCAGCATCATACGCAATGATATAATGCAGTGGATTCGACGAGGCCCTTAATTACTTAGACTCACACTTGTAAAACGAAAAATGACCGCGTTTGTTTGTTTGCTTGCAAGGGGTGACCATATTTTCTTTTTGGTGGGCAATGTGAAGTTTTGGAATCGCATTTACTGTTTGTTTTGTGCTGGACTGGGAATTCTTGAGCCATTATTGTCATATGTATCTTAATCTGCGAAATGTGTTCAATATGTGTTGAAAACCGTGGCAATGCCTGCTGAGATTTTGAAAAGAAATAATGTAACAATATATCTCCTAAATAATATAAGCGTCTAAGGGGGTTAGACTCGTTTTTTTTTCGTTTTTTCCCGTCTACTTTCTAACGGATCTACTGACTTTTATGACTAAATAGACTAAATGAGCCAATTACTGTGTTATTTACTCTATTAATACAAAGTCCACCCAAGCTTTGATTAAAAATAAGTCCACCCAAGCTTTGTAATTTATTAGTGCTCCTGGAATAAAAAATTGATTAAAAGTCACTTGGAATGACATCAACTTTGATTAAAAATAAATCCACCCAACCAATAAAAACTTTGTATATGTTTTAATCAAAGCATAAGGCAAGCAAATTACTTTCTACTTCAATTACTGTGTTATTTACTTTATTACTTTAAACTTTGTATATGCTTGCCTTATGTCTGTCATCCATGGTTTAAGTCCTTATTTGGAACAAACTTTCACATACAGATACAAACTGAATTCATAGACTTATTTTTATATGTGTAAGTGACATCTATTTGTTCTTTGGTTATGTGATTGCATATATAACATATGGTTGGTAATTGGTATGTTAGCTCAAATCAGAATGGTTTGTTTCTGCACTCCTTGTTAATGGATCATTGTAAACTGTGGCTCATAATTTTCTGCACATCATCTGCTAACTTGGGGTTTTCTGCATATTCCCTAATAATAATTTTTCAGCAAAATTTGTTTATCTGATAGCTATAAATTTCGACTTCTGTATTCTGACTTCTCTAACATGTATTCTGACTTCTCTAACACTATTTCCACACTTTATTCATAATAAGTTTGTCAAGAAGTCTGAAAATGTAGTTTTAGGCCTAATGGAGTCATAGGCAGTGCTGTTCTGCATACTGCTAAAAGTATGGATTTTTTGTATCCATTGAGCAAACACTGATTTAAGTTGGAACGGTGTAGTTGCAGTGGGTGGCAAAATAGGGTTAGCGCCAATTTCTTTGGGGACTACGGATTTTTTGGTAAATCACATTAGGACTAAAATTTTCCCAAATAACCAAGGTTTAGTAATAGAATTCGTCGTATAACCATACCTTTTTTTAGACTTTATAGCACTTACAATTGTGTCTGTATATGCCAAACATAGTGAGTGGATTCCTAGCCTCAAGCATTCATCTTGGTATAAGTGATGAATTCTTCCTTCTTTTCTCGTTTCCTACAAAGTATGTTTTTTATTTCCCTTTCTTTTCTCTGCATTTTCTGGTTATAAAATGGAAGGAACAACTGGCCTTAAGCGGTGTGAGGAAGCTGCCACTCTGAAACTCAAGAATCTATTGATATATGCATGCAATCATATGATTATGTAATGAAAAATTCAGGGAACTCTTTCAATTGAGATACATGGAATGTATGATGAATTTGAGCTTAGCTTCTTGAAGTAATGGCAGTCTCTAGACCACTTGTCCCACCTTAGCCAATATTTGAAAGGGACCATAGAACTTAGGAACCTGCACAAGAGCAACTCCAATCCCATAAGTAGAACCATGAGTTTCCCCCACAAATGTTTTAGCAAAATAAGGGAAACCCAAGACTGGTGCAGTAGTATGCAGATTTTATTAAGCATGCAGATTTTATTTAGGTCAAAATGAGTTGCTTTTGCCACGACGATAGCCTTTTAACCCATGCATTGTTAGAAATGCACACTCTTCCTCAAATCATGGCATATTTTTCAAATATAAATAACTTTGTATGTACTGCCACTTAATCACAAATACTGGATTACCATCAAAACCGTGAACTGTTTATCTAATACCTAAATCAGAGCTACATTCTGACTTTTGTGTTCTATTTTTAGTTCCTTCCAATTTTTGGATTTCCTAGAATTCTTCGTATACGCATACCTTTTTATACTAAAAAAAAGTCCATTCCCACTCCATGCACATGCGTCTACATTCTAAATTTTATTTAGGTTAAAAAAAACCCTGAAATCTAGCTACATGTCTAGACTTTGAAGTACACACATTATAATATACTTTAAAAACCGAATAGAGCGTGAGTGATAATCTATTATCAAGTTTATTACTATGAATTGTCACCAAAATAAAGGGAGGGTGGTGTGGGATTGACTTGGAGTGTCAGTTTGTGTGAGATAAGAACAATTTTCAAATTTAGTTATCCAACAAAACATCACCAGTAAGGGTCATATTTTTTAACTTTAACATAAAAAAACATCCCAAATGAAAGTCTCTGCCTCTTTTACATATCTGTACAAACCTAAACATGTACCTACATACGTTACACTCTTACACACCATTGACAATGTTCTACTCATGCAGATGCAAACCAATAACTTTGATTCAGGGCAGGGAAATCGAAAAGGCACTCGAATCAGGTTCTATCCAACAATACTAGCAAAGAAGATACTGGCAACTTCCTTCCAAGGTAAACATACACAAACAAGCAAGACTCTCATTAACAACACGTCACGATTCATCAATCGAACTCAACCCAGCCATATCTCTTGCGGCATCTCTAGAAGAATGGTACGTATCTTTAACTATTCTGACATCTTATTAAATTTAAAAATGACTTTTATAAACAAATATATGCCATCCAAGAAACGTTCAAATGCTGTCACAATAGAGCATGCATTGGAAACAAAAATATTTGAAGATCCTCTTTCTGTTTTCGTGAGTCCAGAAGAGATTGAAAAAAACAAGCATTTCAGACCTCATACACACAGCAAATCAGGTTTTATACACATTTCTTTAATCACCATCTTTTAAGTTCCTATCAAATGTTTCTGCCATACGAACTTCACAAATACTTTAATTTATATCTTATGTACACACATTCTCCCTGCAAATCTTAGCAGATTCAGAGTGGCGGCTGAGATAAGTGACAGTAGAGATGCTATATAGGTCACCCTCTTCACCAAGGAGCTCCAGAAAATATTAAAGACGCTCGAGTGGAATACGACACTGGACACAATCAATACTCCGAATCTGAACAGGGCCCTTCAATCAGTGACGGTCATTGCTGCCATTAAACAAACATCAAGCAGTTATGAAACACAGACATCAAACATGTACTCACTGCTAAGCCTCAAAGAAAACAAGCACATCAACTTTAAAGAGAAAGCTGAAGGTTGAAGAAGACGTCCACAAAAAAAGGCTTAGCAAATGTTTCTAGATGTTGGAAACTTTTTTGACCTATATGTGTATTCCTACCGTTCTTGTAAAGCATATGTATCCCAACAAAGTAGGAATCAATATGTAACTTTGCTACATATCATAAATGAAATGCACCCTGTCACTTCAATTTTTGTAAAAACATTCCCTATGTTAGAATTCATATGTTAGCCACATACCATACATGAAGTGTAAGTGATCACTTCAAATTTTGTAAACTTATCCCTATCCTTTTGATGAAATACTACGCTTATGATATATCAAAAAAAATTTGTAGATTACACAATAAGTTTGGGCACTGACACGCAAAGTGTGTGTCCATGCTAGTGCGTTTAATATGATCTCAGAATAGCATTTCTGAACTCATGGTTTTTGTGTTCGGGTCGTCTTAAATAACTGCCAGCGGCTCGTTTCAAATTTGAAAGGGCTAATCATGGCTGAACTTGAGTGCAGCCCGATTATTTCCTTGGACCGAATATCAAGCCATACTTGCGTCATATTGGCTTGTAGTAGAGCTGGCAAATCGGTCGGTCAGGTCGGATTTGGGTTTGGTCACTTCAAGTTCGGGTTATTTCGGGTTCGAGTCAATTCGGGTTGAGAACTGTATGTTCATAACCCTGTGTCGTCGGGTTCGGGTCGACCCAACGGGTTATGACTTTGGTTTTTAGAAGTTTTAAATTCACATTAACACTTACATTTTCTATTAAATAGATTTAAAATATCATAAAAAATGTATTAAATCTATTAAATTATTTTATTTTAAACTCTGAAGTAATTTTTAGCTATATAAATCAATATAAAGAATTCAAAAGTTTTGGAAAAAAATAAGATAATTATGCAATATCATTAAAATTTTGTCTAAAAATATGAATTTATACACAAAAAACGAGTACTAAAGTGTATGATTTTGAAAAATTCTTACTTTAACGAGTCAGTCAGGTCGGGTTCGGTCGAGTTTGACCCATTTTTAGCGGGTCATTTCGGGTTTGGACAACTTCGAGTTCGGTCATCAAAACCTTTGTTTGAAACCCATTATTTTCAGGTTGGGTTTCGGGTCAAAAAAAGGTCGAGTCATTTTTTGTCAGGTCTAGCTTGTAGAATACAAGGGTTTAATTTCCTTTATATAGGAAGAGGAACAAAGAAAATAAGTAAACTACCATAATTCTACACCCACCATAATTCTATTTCTAACATAATATAGAATTACATTAAATAAGGAAACCTCATAAAGTTTCTCCTTTTCCCTTTTGTATTTGTCACGCCAATACCACCCTCAAGCTGGAATATACGGATTCTGTGTGCCCAACATGGATAGCAAATGAGAAAACGGAGCAGAAGCCAAAGCCTTTGTAAAACAGTTTGTCGGTTGTTCCGTAGTGAATACTTCAAATTAAGTATGAGCAATATATTCTGCTCTCAGTTGTAAGTTTATTTTTACAACTTTTAATAAAATGTTCTTTTATTTTCTGCACTATTCATTTACTGGTTGCGTTTCAAGCAGTAGTCAATTTTCCCAATGAAGGATCAGTTTTCTTCGAGTGTCGTGTCTCTCGAGGAGTGGACAAAGGAAATTGGCTAATTTTTCTAACTAGGTGAAGGTTTCGACAAGTCTAGAAATCTGCTCGATTTGATTTGAAAATAAAAATAAACTAAACTACTGGGTGCTTTTGAGGAAAAAAATAATGCCGGTATAAGACTAGACTTTGGATTAAGGTATCATCTTGATTAACTATTGTTTTCACAAATTAATTAATAATTGGAATAATCATATTTTTGTCACAAATATTTCATTAAATTATCCTCTCTCAATGTATTATTAATGTTTTCTAAAAAATTTAACTTAATTAAGTTTATATCCTCATAGACAAGACAAAAGAACTAATTTCTATTAATTAATTGATTTTTCCTGACAAAACTAATTACTTTAACAATAAAAATAATACTAAAATAATTATTTCAGCTATTAAATAAACATACAGTGTATCCTTGATCTATGTCCTAACCCATACTAAATATTAACAGTGCATCGAAGTGTAAATATTTTAATAAAATTGCAAGTATTAAAACTTACAACAGAGAGCAAAGTGGGAGCCACTTTGAGACAACCAGAATAAAACTAAACTAAAAATTCAAATATAACTGATAAAATAGCAGGCAATAGAGTTTGGGGAGCCTTTAAGATCTAGAGAGAAGATGATGAATGGAGGGGCCTCCTTTTATAGCACAAAATTTCGTTCCAAGCATCTGGGAGGTGCCCGCCTGAGGTCCAGGTGCCTGCTTGGACCATGAGTGCTGCTGGCGGCGGTGACAAAATAAATGGAGAAGAGATTCTCACCCAAATTTCTTGTCTTCTTTCTTTCTTTATTTATTTTTATTTTATTTTTTTGGCTTTCGTGGTGATGACGGCTGACATTTGGCCAGCCCACTTGCTGCTGCCACAGTTGACCGGCCAGCCAGGTCGCGCACATGGCAACACTTGGTTTGCAGGATTTTGACCTGGTCTAATTTTTTTTTAAAAAAAATACTAATGTGCTAAAAATTTTATTTAGAACAACATTTCCGTCTGTGCTGACTTAAAATTCCAAACCAATTTGGGTTAAACGAATTAATTTTGAATTCAATCAATTTTTTTACTTTTTCTCTTCAAACAATTTCTCTTTTGGTATTTTTTCAATCCATTTGACCTCAAATCTTTTGACGAGGTGCATCGCCATAATTGAATATACAATTTTTACTTCACGGATTTTCACCATCTTTTGCCCTTTTACTCCATTGCATTCCATTTGCATAATGTTTCATACTTTTGTATCACTTTTGACCTAATTTTTATATTTTTTACAACAAGATATAACTTTTGTGCATTTTTACAATTATAAATAAAAACTTATAAAAACCATTGAAAAATTGATTTGTTTAATCCAAAATTAGACAATAACACATCAAATATAGAGAAGATAAGTGTGTACAAAACAAACTTATAAAGAGAATCGATTCCCAATCTTCCATGGCCCCTACGTTGCTGTTTCCGATTAGAAGGGTCGCCATGATAAATTGACAAAGGACAGAACGGCAATCGAAGAAGAAGATTTAGGGCGGCGATGACATATGTGAGGGGTTTGGGGGGTGGTTAGAGGAGTTAGAACAATCAATTTTATGAAAGACGTGCGGGAAACAGACTAAAACAAGAGTAAAACTTTGAAAATATACCAAAATAAGAGTTTCATATTTTTATTTTCGAAATAGAAGTTTAATTGCATTTACATTATCAATAATGACCATATACATTACGTAAAATGCACACGTACAGTGCCACATTACCACAGTGCGCACGTACAGTGTTCATGCACACCTCCCATGTTCCCCTCCGTTATTATATTTACTAGTATCGTACCCGTGCGATGCACGGCGATGCACGGGAAACATTTCGTTATTATATTTGTCATTAATTAAAATTTAATTAAGAGTTTAATTCATAAGGATAAGAAATTCAATTTTGTACTTTAGCAAATTCCAAGGATAAAGATAATATTCCTACATAATTGATTATTGATAAGAGAAACGGACTAAATGATATTAGAACATTATTATTAATAATACATTACAAATGACACGTGTTGATAAAACAAAAAAATAGACCATTACAACATACTTCAAATATTTTGGAAAACTTCCGTAAATACAACATCAGTGGTATAATCGACTATATTATTATCAGCGTTTATTATCAAAATTTTAAGGTGCTGACGATTTGTCACCTGAGAAAATGCAACGTATAATTGTCTATGACTAAAGATCGGTTTTTTCAGTAGAAGACCAACGTGTTTCAAGGATTGACCTTGACTTTTACTCCGCATTTATTATCATAGCGTATGAGGTCATTATCGGAAATTATTTTCTCTGAAACTTAAAAAGAATCATCGTATCTGAAGGTGTTAGTGTGAGTCTTGGAATCACAACCTTGTGTCCAGCATGTTTTCTTGCAAAAAAATAACTTAACTTTTTTTTTTGACCCGAGGCCGACTTGAAAATTCTAGATTTTGTACTAAGGTTTTGCTGACTGAATTCAAATTTAACCTACCCCGAAATGACCCGCTAAAAATGGGTCAAACCTAACCAAACCCGAACCCGACACTCTAATCTAAGAGTTTTTTAGAATCATTATACATTTTAATATGAACAATAGTGTTATAAAAATAAGATTATAATTATATTTTCAATGATGCCGCATAATTATCTTACTCCCTCCATCCATAAATATTTGTCACACTTGTATTTTCGAGGTAAAATATTAAACTTTTTCAATTTATTTTATGTACATATTGGTATAAAAATAAAAAATAAAATTTACATATCAAAAAACCATATGAAAACTTTTTCGAAATAAGAGGTGCCAAGAATATTTTATTTTATCAAATAACCAATGGAAATTTTATTGCTTACCACTGGTAAGAATTTTATTGTAATAATTTTATTGTCCATAAATAAAATTGAACTTTATTGTCCATAAATATACAACCCTTGGGTCAACCGGTTACACTGGTAAGAACTTTATTGTCCATAAATAAAATTGAAAGTGTATATTTTATACTCCTTCCGTCTCTAAATAAACTTTTTCTTTCATTTTTTGTGTCCCCAAAAAACTTCTCTTTTCTCTTAAAAAACCACTTTTACTCTTTACTTTTTCATACCCTACCTATCACATCATATCTTTTTACTACTAATAATCTACCCATCACATCCTACTTTTATCCATCATATCAAGGGTATTTTTGGAAATTCGACACCAAAATATCCCTTCCTTAATTTCCCAAAAAGTCAATAAGGGAAGTTTATTTAAGGACGAAAGAAGTATATATTTTATAGAACCCAATATTAGTCCTAAGCCCAATCATTCACCGGCCCCAAATATATTTATAGGAAACAACTTTTATAGTTGGCCTTGGAAAATAAATACCCATAATCGGCCCACTCGAAGCAGCCCAAATAACACCAGCCCATCAGTGATGTAACCCATTAATTTTGAGCGGGAACACTGTTCAAAACAGCCTCCTACCATTATATAATATAGATTTTCATTTCTTTCATGGGTAAAGTTAGAGTCACAAACCAAACATTCAAAAATGCACAAACCTATTCAATACCTAAAGTAATAATTTTAAATAATGGTCTCAAAATTAACACATGAACACTTAAATAAAGACATGATAAATTTATGCATTTTGTTAGTATTTTGTTTGTGAATCTATGATACATTACTCTTCTTTCATAAGTTTATATTTTTCACTAGAACACACACACACACATACTTAAATAAAAAATGATATTCAGAGTAAGGGCTAATAGCATGGATGCACACCGTGGTTTATAAAATGGATAATTTACCTAAATAAGACTAAAACATAATGACTTTCTCAATATAAGACCATGTGTTTTTATTTTCCAATGTAGGACCATTGGTCATTATCTATTAGTCATTATTTAACTAAATGTCCAGCATCACTTGGACATTATTCTTTTCACTAGTTAGTAATAAGTCTTATTTAGAGAATAAAAAAGTTTAAGTCCTATATTGGAAAATGACTTATGTTTTAGTCCTATTCAGTGCAAATTTCACTTACAATAGAGGCGCCAAAACTTTCTCTATTTTCAAAAGTTATTTGTAAAATTCTCGTGGGTTTTTAAATAGTGCAAAGACGCTCTCTCTTACCTATTTTTAGAGATAAAAAGACATTAATGCCTTTTGTTTTTCTCTATTTTCAAGTTTCACTATTTTCTTTTCTTTTACCAAAAAAAACTCTCTCTATCTCAAATTAAAAATTTTCATTTAATTATTTTTTTTTAAAAAATAATTTTTTAAAGAAAATGTTACAAAAGAAAATGAAAAATAAAAAATAAATATATTGTTTTATTGTATGTAAAAGTAAAATAAATAAGATAAAAAAATTAGATAACATATATTTTATTTCATTTTTCTATATTTCATTTTCTTTTGTAACATTCTCCAAAAAAAACTTTTTTTTCAAAAACACATAAATGAAATTTTTTAATTTGAGATGGAGAGCGTGTATTTTATTTTACTTATTTTTATAATAAAGAAAAATAAAAAATTGGAAATTCAAGATAGAGCAAAAGACATGGCATAAATGTTATTTTAGTTCTGAAAATAGGTGAGAGGATGTCTATGCTCTATTTAGAAACTATGAAAACGTTACAAATAAGTTTTAAAAATTAAATAGGTTTGAGCATCCTTTTTGGAAACAACGGGAATATCCATGGTATCAGGCATTCGGACTAATTCAATGACACTTTTTTTAACGGTATTGCGCTCACACTTGAAAGTTGAAACTGGATCTTACGGTCGGCCATTGTTTGAAACTCAAACACTTTCATTCACCAAAGTAAATGCAATACATCATTAGGGGGAATAGAATGCCATTCATAGCACTCATTAACAGCCAATCTAGCAAGGGTGTGCGCAATCATATTTGACTGTCTAGGAATGTGAAAAAATTAACATAGTTAAAGAAATAAGTGAGTTTTTTGCAATCATCCTCCACAGCATTCAGATATGACCGAGCTTCTACCACGTCATTCTTTAGAGCATGGACCGCTTGAACACAGTTAGAAAAAACAGCGACATCATGGATGTTCTTCTCCTTGAGCCAAGATAGAGCTTCCTTAATAGCTAAAGTTTCTACATACCTCGGTACAAAGGGACAGGTGACAAGCTTGTTGAAGCCCCCGATGAACGTGCCTGCCCCATCAAGAAGGGCTTCTGCCACTGATGTAGAACCATCCTGTTCAAACATGGCCGCATCAACAAAGTAGCGCAGGAGATCCGGCCGGTTCAACTGCTGAAGCCCCGACCCCTCCGACGTCACCATCGTGCCACCATGTACGTCACGACTTGTCCTAGCCACGCATACTTCTCGTGCCCAATCAGCAGCAACCTCCGGCCTGACCACCTTGAGTTCCCAGCAGGCCTGATTTCGGGCTTTCCAGATAGCCCAAATACCCGCAGCCATCACTGCCCCACCGACAGCCGACGCCGATCCAAAAACAGCCGCCAAGCAATTATTAAAGTTCTCGTGCATACCTGTGTCGATCTCTCTGTGTAGGAGTCTCCAAGTAGCCTGAGCAAAAGGGCAGAAAAGGAAAACATGCTCCACTGATTCTTCCGGTGCCCCACAGATGCGGCAGTTAGGCTCAATAGCAACCCCCTTGGCTCTAAGAGCTACCGCCGTAAGTAAAACACCCCTTAAGCACCTCCACACACAATTTTTTACCCTGGGTATGATGGGCAGTCCCCAAAGTCGATTCCACTAGCCGAAACTCTCTAACTGCGATGCTTCCCCGCATAGCCTCCTGTAAGCACTCTTCACTGTGTAATTTCCATGTGCTTCCGCCCTCCAATACCAACAGTCCTTTCGAGAGAGAGACAATGGAGTACGTTGAATTCGGATTGCATTTTTAGATTTTTGAGAGGGTGCCCATTCGTATTTTTTATTATGCGTCTCATCATTGTACTCCTAGGGTAACCTAGTTGATCATGCCATATGGTAAATGTGTCTTTATCTAGTAACTTCTAGTTACTTACCATATATGACTTAATATGATTATATTGGTACAATATAATACAGAGGATAAAGCTTCTAGCTTTTCTAAAATATCTTCATTGGAAATAATTTGTAGGTATTCTCTACTATTTTAAGATGTGGTTTTGAGGTGGTAACCATTTTGATGAATATTTTTGAAACGAAGTAAGTCCTTTCGAGATTTACTTGAGTATAGTGCATCATTTATGATTAATTTGGTACCCGAAGGTAATATGATGCATGCTCTTCCGGAGCCGATTATTTGGATTACGCTAATGCACTCGTGACCGACAATCAACTCGTCCTCCAACTCCTCCAGTCTCCTAGAAGATCTCCAAAGCCAGACATCTTTTCTGCAATTTCAGAAGCCCCCGACGTTTGTGAAGGCCCGGTCAGCCCTGTTTCTCTTGGACCAGCAGCGCAGCCCATCAACCGCCGGCGACACTAGCACGACTCGTCTAGCCGCTAGGGCGTACGAGTCGCAGCCCTTTTCACTCTCCACTGGTGGCGGCTTTTATGGATCTCAACAGCAACAGCGAAAGCTGCAAGGCAGCAGATGCTTTGGTGGAGGTCGGCAGCAGGGCGGCGGAAGAGGGGGATCCCCCCCCCCCCCCCAGGCTTTTCACCTTGGCAGCATCAGCCCCGGCAACCCACCGGACCAACCCGACGACCCAAACCCCCAAACCCAGGCCCATGAGGCAGCTGCCCATCGCCCGGAGGCCCCGCTGCCAACTTGGACAGCCGGCCCAACTGGCCCAAATCGAGCCCGAGTTCCCAACAAATCATCTAATAACACAACCTAGTCCAACATATCCAATTACAATCCAAATGCATCTAATTGAACCCAAAACAGACCCAATTGTTCCCAATAGAATCCAAACCAACCCAATTGCTCCCCAATTACCCAAATCAAACCCAATTCAACCCAATTGAATCCAAATTGACCCAATTGGATCTAATTGGGTCGACCCAAAGCATAAACAGCGGCTGCCACCCTCCTTGCCGGCGACACACCGGCGGCACGCCGGATTCCGGCCAAAGTTCAAGCACAAACATAGTCAATAATCAATCCAACAATCAATGTGTCCAATTCCACAATCAATTGCAAGATTCATACGAACTAGATTCTAATCTAAGAATTAACGCTAACGTTAGGAATATGGGCAACGAATCACCTCGATAATCGAAGAAATTAAAACTTGGATCGGAGAGAAGGGATTCGCCGCCGCTCCTCGTCGGACTAGCTCGCGGCTCGCGCACGCTGGCTGGAAGGGAAGGAAGTGAGAGGGACAGTGGTCGGCGTTTCTTTCCCTGGGACGGAGGTCGCCAGTGCTGGTGTGGAATCGCCGGACGAACGAATGGACAGTGCAGAGAGAACGTGCGGAGAAGAAAACGGGCGGGGAAGGAGAGAGTCCTACACTAGTACCTTTCGTCCCCGACTCAAAATAATCACCAAACCCACGTCAATTGCACCTCGTAAGTATAATTGACTTTAAAATCAAAATTTTTCACTTAATACTTACGAGGTGCAATTGACGTAGATGGGGTGATTAGTTTGGGTCAGGACTTTGCGGGAACGGGGGAGAAGGGGGTTACCGGGGGTTAATGGGGTAGGAATCATCAATTTTATGAACGGAGCTCCGTAGGGGCAGTGGCTTCTGTGGCCACTGGAATCCAGTGGCCATGGAACCAGACTCTTAATATATACTCCGTAATTAAATACAGAGTAGATTTTAGGGTCCAATTTACACTTTCTAACCAGTTAGGATAAATTTAAGCTCAATTACCTTATTTGTCAGTTGTACCTTGGCCCAACAAGTTCAATTTGCAATTTGTTTGTGTGGCCGGGTTCAGAACAGCGAGCTCCACAACGTAGGTCAAATTCTCATATTAAATATGCAAATTAGAAAATAACTTACGTATGAACCGATTCAGTAATTAATTATATAAATTAATTAAAAATACCAAGCCATGGGGCGTTACAATCAAAGAAGGTGCGCCGTTTATAATTTGACAAAAACGCATACTCCCTCCATTTCTTAAAATGGTTCTTGTTTTGACTTTGGGGCAAAATAAAGAAAGTATAATTTTAGTTGACTTTCTAATTTTGCCCCTGATGTGATGGGTAAAAGTAAGATGTGATAGTTTAGTTATTAATAAAAAAGTATGATGTGATAAGTAGGGTATGAAAAAGTAAGGGTAAAAATGAAAGAGGAAGAATTTTAAGAAATGGGAGGAGTATTATACTTAAGAATTCGGAGCATTATCGGTTGATTGGCAATATGATTGGCGAAAACACATACTCCGTATTATGCTTATACAAATATGATTGACAATGTCGCAAAAAAATTCACAGAGTATAATATGATATGGAGTATATATGTAGGCCATACCATACTTGAGGTTAAAAGGATGGGATCTGATAAATTTTGGAATACCTGGAGTAAGGATCAAAAGTTTATGAAGGAGAAGAAGATCTGGAATTCGGCGATTGCTTTGCTTCCTGGCAAAACTGATGAATATTAGAGCGGGGAAAAATAAAAGTAATAATAATCCGAACTTATAAACCGTTCGGATTTTACAATTAAGAATAAAAATAAGAAGATTGAAACTTCGGGAAGCTCGAACGGGAGCAAGTAGCGGGAAGAGCACGAACGGACAGAACTGGAACACCAACGGGCAGAGGAAGAACACGAGCAGCAGGTCGCCCGAGCAGTTTCTGGAAATATAGGTAAGGAAAGCAGAGTCGCCGGAGCTTTCCTTAAGGTAGTATTGTCCGCCTCCCGCACCGGCAAACGTGGGCAATCTCCTCCCAGGATAAAACCGCAACGTGCTAAGTCTAGAACGGTAGAGCAAAGCACCGACGAACGAGAACGACGGGAAGTTATCGCCGGAGAAGATGATCAGAAACGGGGATTAGTCGGAAAGCTTTCAGTAACGCAGAGAGGGTTTTTCCAAGTGTATCCATCCCTGCAGCCGAGCCCTCCTTTTATAGGAGAGGAATTGGCTCCTCAATTGGACTGGACGAAGTTACCGAGGAGTATAAGCCCTCAGGCCAACCCTTCGCCTCCATGCATGCATGCTTTAAACGGACGGCGGCGCGCGAGGAGTCCTCTTCTTGTTCCTTTAATAAGCTTAATTAAATGCCTAAACTTAAATATGACAATATGAAAGGTTCAAAATCCGGTGTGGGACAAGGGTTTTTACTCTTCCCTCATGTTCAACTTTGAGAATTAATTTCTCATTCACCCGAGCACCATTTATGGCGTGTAATATGTCAAGATATTCGTCTTACTTACGAGATTAAGCGTCCATAATTATTTCGGAAAATAATTTTGTGGACCCTACCGAAATTATGTCCGAAAATGTCCAATTTATCTAAAAATTTCCAACAAAAAGAACTAAGAAGATGAAGAAATTACTGCGTCGCTGCTCCATTCCTTTTCCAGCGTTTGCTCGGTTCCTTTTTCGGTTGAAGAAGATGAAGAAATTACACAGGTGGCAATTGTGTCTCTGCTCTATTTTTAATCGGTCGAAAAAACAAAAAAATTAAGGTTGGACTATCGTGCTGATAACGTGTTGTAAACTTGGTACATTATTCATCATAAGTAGGAGTATTTATACATACATGTGATAAGGTAAACATGTGATAAGGTAAAATCTAGGTAAATAAGGAAATAGGATCTGATCTTCAAAATAATAAGAATAAGATATATGCCATATTTTGTTAGTTCCATGGTGTTGGCTAATCTTTTGGCAAAGTAGAATCACATATTTGTTAGATATTTTACTGTGTAGACACCTCTATTTGTTAGGAGAGGTTTATTTTATTTAGACTTCTAAAATTGCTGTAGTTTTCGAGGTTGACACAGAAGATGCTACAGCATGATACTGCAATACACTGTTCGGGATTAGAGGTCTGAGCATGTGATTTTAAGCTGCAATCTGAATTAGAGACCTATTAGGATTGTGATTACATGATAATAACTCTAGCTGTACTTGTTAAGGAATCCTAACTCTTTAGGCTACTTATGGATCAAGATTAAGGAAGTTGAGTTGAAGCTAACTTCTACTAACCTATTCCTACTACGATTGTGTTAAGAGAAGCCTATAAAAACGCAGCAGGTCCCTCGGAATTACTTGGAGCGATCGAGAGGGAAAACAAAGAATATATGCTACTGTAGAGCATTCCCGTCGCATCTCGAAGCTTCCCATGCGTGAAGAAGGTTACGATGTACATAAAGGAGAAAATATTCAACGCCAAACAGATCATGATGTCCAGGAGATGAACCAGAGCTTAAGGAGAGGGCTGCCAACACGTTTGTCCTCGTGATCTCGGTGGAGATGTGATAGCCGAAGCGGATTTGTACAAGGTACGAGTTAGAAATTCTAGATTAGAAGTTTTGTCATAACAATTCGGAGAAGTGTGTCTCATCATGTTGTTATGTACTGGTGTAACTTGCATCTAGTGATTTAGTGGGGGGTTATTACACGGACGTGGGCCCCGCAGACTAGGAGAGTTCTCCGAACTGCGTAAACATATTTGGTGTTATTTTTTACGCATTTAATAATTATAGCATTCTGCCCTAGGCGCTGTAATGCCCTCTGCATCATCTGCTTATGTATGTGTTTGTGACAGAGAAGTGTTATAGCACACTGTCTGTTATCTGTTACTGTGACAGTGCTGCAGTATCTTCTCTACAGCTAGGGGTGGACACGGTACGGTCCCGGGATGGTTCCGGTTCCGGTACCGCCACCCCTTGGTACCGGTACCGAATCGGCCGGTACCGGTTCCGGTTCCGGTACCGGCGGTTCCAGTTCCGGTACCGTTTCGGCCACCCATAATTTCTTTTTTTTTTGTTTTTTTATTAAATTTTTAAAGTGTAGAATTGTAAATGTGTAATTGTTAAAAGAAAGGATGAAATAAAAAACTCTAAAAATGAAATTGATAAAGGAAAGAATGAAATAAAAATAATAATAATAATTACGGTATCGGAACCGGAACCGGTACCGAAAAATGGGCACCGGAACCGGTACCGGAGTGGGCGGTACCGGTACCGGTGCCCGGAACCGGTGGACCGTCCCGGCCGACGGTAACGGTACCGGTACCGGCGGTACCGTTTCCGGTCATGGTATCGTGTCCACCCCTATCTACAGCATAGTTGATTGATTTGTTTGCATAACTCTTAATTGGTGATTTCCGTTGCGCCACACGAAGTTACATATTTAACATCATATTCTTTTTTTAATGAGGACAAATTATTATTCTAAAGTAATGAAGGAAAAATAAAAATGGGCATAATAAAAGGCGACGGTTCATTCCCATAAAAAATCACTATTTTTTTGTATGTCTCAATAATATTAAAACACTTTTTTGATTTTTTTATTTTATAAAAGTCAAATGGATAATCTTTATGCAACAAATGTAGTTTTCAAATCGATTTTTTATTATTGAGAAAATAATAAATTATATGTTGTAATAAATTTTGAGAGCAAATCGATTTTTTATTATTGAGAAAATAATAATAATAATAATAAACCTAAATAATTATTTTTAAGTCTCTGTAGGAAGAAGTTAGAAGAAACCGGAAAGACAAACTGGAACAAGTTAGAAAAATGGGAAGAAATTGGAAAAAACTAGAAGAAGTGGAAAAAACTCGAAAAAGTTGGAAGAAACTGTAGAAAATTGGACGGGCGGTATTGTGAATGCTCTTAGAGGAAATAAGACTATTGTCAAAATGCGATTTCTTTATAATAAAAGTAAAAACATTTGTCAAAAGTGTATTTAGAATTAGAAGTCCGGCCTGAAATCTCGGTAACTTATTTAAGACTTTGTGGGACGGAGGAATTTACTTAAATAGCATTAAAACATAACGACTTTTCCTAAATAGCACTACATGTGTTTTTCTTCCTAATGTAGCACTTTTAGTCATTATGCATTAGTCATTATTCAAACAAATATTCACTATCAATGGACATTATGAACATTATTAAGTGCTACTTAAGGAATAAAATAGTTTAAGTGCTATTTAAAAAAATGACTTAAGTTTTAGTGTTATTTAGTGCAAATATTTCTTGTGGGACGTACTGCCAGCTAGACTAATGCTTCATAGTTTATCAATTTATTTTTTATGTTGTGTATGTGTATATATATATATAGACACACACATACATACATATACTTGGGTTCACCACTTCCTTGTGTCAAAGAAACATTATATTTGTAGTGGGCGAGAGAGATCAAAGGCTGGTAACATGGACAACTGGAACATGCATCGCGAGGAGGAGGAGGAGGGGGAGGAGGATGAGGAGGTGGTGGAGGAGGAGCGCAAGGACGATGAGGAGGTGGAGGGGGAGTATATTGTCTACCCAAAATTAGCCTGCTCAATAGACCAAGTATATTAATTTTTTTTTGAATGCTATTGACTCTATTAAAGGGTATTATCTGTTCATACTATTCTCAAACTAATGACGCACAAAGAGCCAATGCTGCTGTCTTCGCTGGGGCCCAAACCTTGAAATACTCCCTATATTAATTGAAATACTCCGTATGTATTTTCATTCATTTGAGTGCCGAGCTATTTGGATTGTGTTATATGCTTTATTTGAAATAAAAAAAAAACTCAAATCTGATTTTTTACGGCGTTTGAAACAAAAAATTACTGGCGGGTACCCTCTATTTCTTGATAAGAACTGCTAGGTTCCATTATTTTTTTAAATATACTCCGGAGTACCTTAAATTATGTAAAAAATGACTGAGGGTCCGTTCATGTCTACGTTAGTTTGTCTCACCGTTACCTTTTTCTTCTTCTTTCCTGTTTTTTCTTTCTTTCTCCCTCTCTTTCTTTTTTTCTCTCTTTCCAATTCCCATTAGCCCCCCCCCCACCCAAATCCCTCCCCCTTTTTTTTTCCTCTATTATTTATTTTCTTCTTCTTCTTCTTCTATTATTATTATTATTACTCTTAATTTTTATTTGGAAAATAGCACTTTTTATAAAAAAAACTTATTATTAATACTATTATTTATTAAAAACAATTAATTAGTAATTTTACTACTTCACTCTTTTATAAAAATAACATTACTTATTAGTATTACTTTGTATTAATTATTATTTATTTCTTATAGTTTTATTTTTCTTCTATTTTTTAATCTATTATTATTATGCATCACAGTGAAAGGTGTGATTATTTTTGAAAGACCGGGCAAAGTTGGGATTATTTTGGATAATTTTTTTCTAATTTTTTAATATACAAATTACAAGATAAAATGGATTAAAAAAGTGCATTGGATGATGTGTAAAAATAAAAGTGGACAAATACTCTGGAATGGAGGTAGTAATTAACTTTTAATAATAATAATAGATTAAAAAATAGAAGAAAAATAAAACAATAAGAAATAAATAATAATTAATACAAAGTAATACTAATAAGTAATGTTATTTTTATAAAAGAGTGAAGTAGTAAA